GCAGGCTGCTATGGCTGCTGTCAACCTGTCATTGCTTTGCACAACCGTGGCTGTCCACATCCACATGGGCTCCCAGGTACAGTTTTTTGCAACATACTTTCTGCACCGTGGCATGTAAATGAGGTCTGAAAGTCACTTTTCTTAATCAAACCTCACAGAAACCTGGATATTGGTTTTGGAACATGGGTTACGAAGCTATTCAGGTGTTTGGACACTGGTAAACAAAGCTGCAAGGAGTGCCCTGGCATATGCCTCCCAGTCCCAGCAAGCCTCCACTTTTTGTTAGTTTCTTTAGGTGAATGGACATCCTCTCTATTCTCATCTTCACTGACTGTAATGTGTAATCCAATTTTCTGTTTAACCTATGTTACAGTTTGCATAACTTTTTTTTTTTTTTTTTTTTTTTTTTTTTTTTTTTAGACCAAGTAGTGGTTGAAAATGCCTGGGATGACCATTTGATTGCCCTTCTTCTGTCAGAATTGCCCACACCACTAATTTCCCTGAGCAACTACCATCAATGGCCAACAAAGCTTCCATCCTTCAAGCCTAAAATCGAGGCAAAGCTGGGTAAGGCAAACTCGCTGTCATTCTATCCATCTATGTACAGTAGACCGCTATCCTCACACAATCAGCAGTATTGGTTACAAATGTTTGTTTTATAATGGCACTTCTGTTTTAGGTTCCCAGTCATTTCATGTTGATCATTTGCTTGGAGAAGGGGCTTTTGCACATGTATATCAAGCTTCTATATCGGGTACACAAACCCAGCACAATCCCAAAGTTATTCTAAAGGTAATGTTGAACCTCCAGAAAAACATATGTGGTCATTGAATAGAAATTTGTCATTTGTAATTAATCTTTTATTTTTCTTTGCCACAGGTACAAAAGCCTGCAAAGCCCTGGGAGTTTTACATTGGCACACAGATTACACAGCGGATTTGTCCAAGGCTAAGACCTCTCTTCATCAGTTTCCACTCTGCACATATATTCCAGAATGGAAGTGTATTGGTTGGAGATCTCTACAGCTACGGGTCACTTTTGGTAAGACAGGCTGCATTTTTAGATGGATGTTTTTCATTGGCTTTAATTTTCAGGTGAGCTCCATTACCAGGTGAACAGAAATCTGGCAGTCTTGTCAACAAATGGTAAACACTCAGTAGATTGAAATAAAATGTTTACTGATATCTGCCACTGAAATAAAAATATACTGATATCTGCCACTGAAATAAAATCTATACTGATATCTGCCACTGAAATAAAATCTATACTGATATCTGCCACTGATAGTCTGTTGCATGATTGCTTATCTACATTGCCTAAGAGATTAGTATTTTATTATCAGGTGATATGAAATATTGCATGTAAATGTTGTACTCTTCTTTTAAGACAAAAGATGAAGCTTTAAACTCATTTTTACATGATTTTATTTTTTTTTCCATTGTGATCTGTTTATTAAAAAAAAAAAGTTAGTGGGGGAGGAATAAAGCAATAAAAGGGGAGTGATGGGGCCACTGATGTGCACTCATAGGGAAGGCAGTGTTTTTTGAATTTATCTGTGGTCTTGCCAAAATTAGCCTTTCAGCTTTGAGGTTAAAGAATATGCAAAACCAACATTTCATATTCCCGATATGTGTGTGCTGTACCATGTACTTGTACGAAAAGGTATCCAGTTCTCTTTGTATTGCTTCCTTTGTTTAAAATCCCTGGTGTTCCTGCCAAGTCCCTCTGCTTTCCTTTTAAAAACCGACTTCTGTAAGAAGGAGAACACACCATGGTCAGTTCTCTAGCTGTACTGGGAACTCTGTGTGCTCTCCTCTAAAGATCAGACTGCTGCTGACATGACTTCCTGCAAAAACCATTCACTTGGAAGATCAGTGTGCTGCTGCTTCAACTTCCCCAGCTCTTATGCAGGGGGGAACGTTATCACCTATTAAAGAGGGTGGAAAAGTTGTATGTTTTACTTTTCATTTCTGTTTTAAACTGAATGGGTTTGTTTTACAAGGTGAGGGTTTACAATCACTTTAACTCTTCCATGCATAATATTGTTTACTTTGTGTATCGAAGGTTGTTGAGGTGGTGAATTAGGGTTTTTCTAGTACTCCTGTTATTTTGTTGACAATATGCACGTGTTTTTTATAAGCCTTTTTATTTTTAAAATGTCCTCATTTCATTAAGCTTGTGCTCTGTGTGAGTAATGTATAGTGCAGCTTTCTAGACTAGTTTAAATTGTTGCTAATGTAATAGTAATGCCCTTTGGATTTCTGATACAATCACTACGCTGTCCTGCTAATTGAAACACTTATTTTGCTTTCTCTAGAATGCTATCAATCTTTACAAGAAATTGTCAGATAAGGTGATGCCTGTGCCATTGGTCATGTACTTTGCTATCAATATCCTGTACATAGTGGAACAGCTACATAACATTGGCATTATCCATGGTGATATAAAACCTGATAACTTTGCACTCGGTGAAAAGTAAGTTTTTTTTTTTGTTTTTTTTTAATCCCATTTATTAGACCGTACAAAAACTGTTGGAAGAGAACATGGCAATAATGATTGCATGAACATTACTTTTTGTGTGACTCATTGTAGTCCTGATCAGGACCAACAGGGATACAGCTCCCTTTGCCTCCACAAGGTGTCAGTCTTGTTAATGTTTTTGGGGAAATTGGACTGATTTTGGAAGTATTTGAGTTGTATGTTAAGACAAATTTTTTTTGTCAGTTTTTTTTTTTTTTTTTTTTAAACTGCTTAAAAAAGGTAAAGCTAGACTGTCATTCAAACCCAGAACCTGCTTTTTTTTTCTTGCCATTCATCACTGCTCTCCCTGTGCATCAGCTGCCAGTGAGAGTGATAAGAGATCTAGATGATGCTGATCTTGTGAAACTTGCATATCACTGAAAGAGTTTAGTCTGCTTTAGGTTGCATATTTTAAGGAAAAGATAGCTGCATATTGATAGAGGGAAAGGTAGGGGGGCATTAGAAACTGATGACAGAGAAGATAATAAATATTTCTATTATTCTTTCTAATAAATAGAAGATATCAAAGGCCGCCACCACCACTGTGTAAAGGGTTAGTTCACCTTTTTAATAACCTTTTTTTAAAAAATGCATACGCATTACAGCTCTGTCTGTACATTAAAATACTATTCCCCATTTTTAAAAATGATCCTTACTTTTGAAAATGCTTTCACTGTGGACTCCCCCCTCCTTGCCCTGCTGTTTGAGGCACGGTTCCAACATCTCACAATCAAGTACTCGGCTATGAGAACATGGGTTTCCCAACCAAATGTCAATCTCTCCCACTTGGAGAATACTGAGAGAAAGAAGACTGCGTATGTGTGGTTGGGCAAGCTAAGCTGTTGTAGCTGAATGATTGTTCATGAGGTGTTGGGGTCATGCATCCAACTATTAGTTCGTCCTGCCACCTTGGACACATAGGAGGAGCCTTCAGCAGAAGCAGCTCCAACGTTAAGGATCATTTTTTTTATTTCAATACTTCTTTATTAGAAAACCTGAATAATAAAAGGGAATATGGCGAGGTCATATAAGACCCTCACCTCCTGGTAGCTCTGGGAGGCCTCTCTGTGCCCAGACAAAACCCTGTTCTCTACGCTGGACTTCAGTACTGCTGTTCTAATGGACCAGAATAGGCTTCATTACAAAACACATAAGGAGGACCCTCTAACTCAAATTTTGGTCTGTAGAGTTTCTTTGCAAAAAGTGTCCCCTGAGGACTCCTTTTTTGAAGGAGTACTCTTTTTACCCCAGAAGAAAGCAAAAGCTCCTGCTAATAGACTGTTGACCCTGGTGATCATAAGAAGCTCTTTTCATTTCCCTCAGGGTCCAAATCCAAGCCTGGAACATAGTTCTGCCACAGAAACTGTACCTCCAAATCCCAGAGAGGGAGTACTGTGTTTCTTCAAAGTGGGGGACATTTTTGACAATACGGTCCAGAACATACTAGTGTGTTTTTTGCTTTCACCCCAAATTAATCTGAATTTGCCAGCTTCTTTGCAAAGACAGGCTGATGTCTACAATGCTTTTGGGTAACTTCTCTCTCAAGGACTCATAACCTTCATCTGAGAGTAGGAAAGGATCCAGGGTTTATTCTTAAGCCTGTTCAGTTCCCAAGGCGGAGGGAGACATTTGCCCCATGCCGGATCTACATGTTCTCAACCAATTCCTTTTGGGTTACAAATTTCTATATAGAATCCGCCCAGCCAGTCATTGTCTTCCTTCACCTGGGAGATTTTATGGCCTGTGTGGATATAAAGGATGGTTATTTACACATCTCCATCTTTCTGGCACATCAACACTACTTGCGGTTTACTGCAGGCCCACATCTTTGCCAGTTTGTTGTCCTTTTCTTTTGGCCGGTCCACTGTACTTCATATATAGAGCTGCCCTCACAACTTTAGCCAGTGTCCATAACTTGAAGGCAGCTACATAACCCAATGTCTTTTGTAATGTACTCTAAGAGAAGGATTTTACACGTAATTACATGGTTAGTCTGGCTGAAAAAAGACAAAAGCCCATCCAGTTCAACCATAAAAAAAAAAAAAAAAGTTATAATCCTATACCCACAGTTGATCCAGAGGAAGGCAAAAAAGCCCAGCAAAGCATGGACCTATTTGCTCCTGCAGGTAAAAAAATTCCTTCCTGATCCCCCGAGAGGCAATCGGATATTCCCTGGAGCAACTTTACCTATAAATGTTAGTATCTAGAGAAAATCCAAGAGACAAATCCAATTTTTATTCACAATGCCTATAACATGCCCGAATTCATCTCTGTAACTATAAAGTGATTTTACTACCTGTTTAGAATATGTAAATATTTTGGTGTTCACGATCTGCGCAAAGGTTTACTTTAGCTATAAATGTGAAATATTTTATTTTGCATGTGTGCGCTCTCTACAGTGCCAATTTATAGCCCTTCACATATCTGACAATACCCTTTTTTCTATGCTTCCCAGTTTTATAGATAATGAGTCTTGTACACTGGATCTGGTATCACATGGACTGGCTCTCATTGATTTGGGTCAGAGCATCGATATGACCCTCTTCCCAAAAGGAACAGCTTTCAAAGCAAAGTGTGAAACCTCTGGATTTCAGTGCGTGGAAATGCTGACCAATAAGCCCTGGAACTATCAGGTATGCATGCAGACTATTTCTTAAATGAAACCCGTAGTCAGGATGAGTATGGTTCTGCCATTGCTTGATCATGTGATCTACTGTTGGTCTGTGTGTTTTTTTTTTTTGTGTTTTTTGTATTCCCCCCCCCGTGTTTTTTTGTTTTTTTTTTTTTTTTTTTTTTTTTTTTTTTTTTTTTTTTCCCCCCAAATACTTTTTCAAGGTTGAAGCTCACTGTAGAGTCAGTGTATCAAGGAGAACCAGTAGATCACCATATGGAGTAGCTCTGCAGGATATTAGTTTTTCTAAGGATTCTCTTATCACTTGGATTAAGCTGCGATTAGACTTCTTAGCTTTGTTTAGGTCTTCCTCTTCTTTCTGGCTGTTTTGCTCACAGTGTTCTATCTTTTCCAGCCTGACATCATGTGTAGCCCATTATTGTTGTTTTTTTTTTTTTTTTTTCTGTTTTTTTTTTTTTTATGCCCTTGTTTTTTTTTTTTTCTCCACAGATATCCTTGGTTCAGTCAGCACAGAATATTGACATCAGACCTTTTAGCTGTGCTCTAGATCTTACTGTGGACTAGAGAGATAGTGAGCCTGTCCTGACCACCTGGATATTTCTGTGTATTCTCTCCTATTTCTCTGGCCTACTTTACAGAAACACATCCTGATTTGCAGAGCAGCCTGGATCCTCCTTCTCAGGTCCCCTGTGGGTGTTCCTGGCCCCTCCCTCCTGTTGGTGCCCCCACAGCAAGTAGCTTGCTATGGGGGCACCTGAGCAGGCATGTTGGGGGGGGGGGGGGGGGGGGGTGCTGCACGGAAAATATTTTTTTACCTTCATGCATGGAATGCATGAAGGGAAAAAAACCTTGAGCCTTTACAACCACTTTAAGTGACCGCTCAGAGTCAGCTGGTGCTGCTGGCATCACATTCTAGATTGCAGTGCCCATTCTAGTTGCAGTCTTGGGCCTTTTGGATGTCTACACAACTTTTGTACAAATAAATAGCGTGCATTAAATGCGCAAATTTTGGGGAAGATGATTGTTGAAATAGTAGGGTCTCTTTTTAAAGTGTTACTAAAGGCAATTTTTTTAAATTAAAATAATAAACATGTTATACTCACCTGCTCTTTGCAATTGTATTGCACAGAGAGACCCCAATCCTCCTCTTCAGGGGTCCCCTGCTGGAGATCTTGGCTCCTCCTCTTCTCTGTGCTCCTCCCATAGCAAGCTACTTGCTATAGAGGCGCACACTGCATGCTCACTCCTGAGCTGCGTTTCTATGGAGTCACGCTCCATGGACATACACTGCATGGCTTGGCCCTGCTCCCCGATTCCTCCACACAGCATTTGATTGACAGAAACATGAGCCAATGGCTCCTGCTGCTGCCTGAGTCCCTGTGTGAAGATGAAGAGAGTGGAGAGAAGAGATCTAGCCATGCACAGCGCTGGATCAATTGAGGACTTGGGTAAATATTTAGGGAGGTGGGGGAGGAGAGAAAGTTGTAAAAAGTTTTAACCTTGCTGCAGGGATTGCATTAAAGTAAAACACATTTTAGCTATAGAACCACTTTAAGTCATGGAATTTCATTGTTTTAAGCTGGCTACTGATGCCTTTCTAAAAATTCATATTTGTATGAGAGCTGCTTATCTGATTGACTACTGTTTTTGTACGTGTGTGTACATATAATAAAAGCATACATACCTACCTACATCTGATACTACAATGAAGCACTGACATTGCACTGACTTCTTTGTCTCCAGACAGACTACTTTGGCATAGCTGGAACAGTTTACTGCATGCTGTTTGGCAACTACATGAAAGTCCGTGAGGAGTGCGGTGCTTGGAAGACAGAAGGAACTTTTAGACGGTCAGTTGTGGTGTTTTTTTTCTTTTTTTTTTTTTCGGTTTTTTTAGTATTACATGTGTGTATTTTTTAGTTAACTTGAACATTTATTTTCAATTTTTTTTTAGATTGCCAAATGGGGAGCTGTGGGTAGAATTTTTCCATACCTTGTTGAATATCCCAGACTGTCACAGCCTATCACCCCTCCAAGCCCTGCGAGAGAAACTCACAAGGAGTTTCCAGATGGTGTATGCAAACAAAGTAAAATCCCAGCGCAACAGACTTGTCATCCTACTTCTGGAAAACAAGCCTACGAGGAAATAAAAATGTTTCAGCTACTGATATGTAGTTCTTGATCCACAAACTGTGTATTCTCCTTACTTTACAAGGAGCACTTTGCCAGGCTGCTGCAATGACCTTGTTTTCCATCACAATGTTGAAGACACTTTTTTTTTTTTTTTTTTTCTTTTTTTTTTTTTTTTTCTTTGTTTATTTTGCTAGAGACCTGTATAAACATTGGAAATAACACATCATTGCAACGTATCTATAAATTCATAAAAAATTGGCAACAGTTCCACCGTATGTGATTTAAAATGGATTTTAGTTGTTTTAAGTAATATATATTTTTTTTGCATTTTTGTGAACCATCTTACTATTAGATGTCTGTTTTGCTGCGTACTGTTACTATGTACATAGTGTCTTTTTACCTTTCCGAAATTCCAGAGCTTGATTTCTGTATCTGCTATAAATGTATAATATAATGCTATTACTTTTTATGGTGGAACTTTCTTTTAAAACTGATGTGACTGCCCACTGTGGTGATCTGTAGTGGAGAATCAAGTGTACATAAACCCTTACAATGGATGTCTGTTATTTACTCTTTTTTGGTCTGTTAAATATACCATTTAGTGGTTTTGTTACATCTTGATCCTGCCAGTGTTCTCAAGTGGGGTTGTCGGTGCCTGCCCGGTTCTCTCAAGTACAGAACACCTCCCTTCTACTTTATGGAACAGAGATGGTGTTAAGGCGTCCAAACATTCTTTCCTAGGGTAACAGCACTGCTCCTCCACACATACAGGACCCTGAGTAAGTGGTGTTACTCTAGGACAGGCAGTGTGTTCTGACAGGATCACAAAGTGAAAATGGGGGGAGGCCTTTTTTTTTTTTTTTTTTTTTTTTTTTAAGTTTTGAGTAATTTTGTATTTGTATTTTATTCAGGACTAAAAATAAAATTGCACAAATTATTTTAGTTGCATACATTTGAAGCCTATTACTATTTTGTATTTTTCAAATATATGAAAGATTGTGCTTTCAGCTCCTTTTCTCATTTGCTAGATTCGTTTTGTGATTTTTGTTTTATAGAACTCAGTAGACCACAGAAGTGGGAGTCCAAGCAGCATGCTTACCTCTGCTCTTCTGATCTTTTTTTAGGACCTGTTTTTTGACAGAGCCTGGGAAAACTTTGTTGTGCTCTTTCCTTAGACTACCTCTAGTGCTTTCTGCACCCACTTTTATAGGTTTACCCAGTGTTGGACAAAGTCAACAATAAGCCCCTATGCAGAAATATTTGGATTCCCCTCCCTTTGACTTTTTTAAGGCCTTGTTTACACTTGTGGTGTTTTGAATAGCGATGCAAACATGGATCGCTCTTCAGACAGCATTTGGCAAGCAGTGAGGAGGTTTTGTATTGTCTCCTCACCACCAGTTTTATCCCCCTACTTGCTGGACTACTGCACTGCAAAAGCATACATTGTTGTGCGGTTGCAAGGCAGTAACTGTGTGGCCCTATTCATTTGAGTGGGTTGTGTTTGGCGGGTGGTAATGCGCATTGAATGTGACGAGGTATAAGTCCTGCTGTGGCATGTGTACAACCCTGATCACTGCCTCTCCAGGGGTGTTTTATTGATTGAACCCCAACCACTAATGCAAACACGCCCTAACTAAGCTATAATTATTTTATTAGTTATCACCCTGCATGAATATGGACTGTGATAACGCATTATATTGTCCAGGTTAACCATATTACGCTGAAAGTGATTAATTGCATATTGCCATTATTCAGCCATCTCTACTGTGAGGCCCCTTCATGTTCAGTTGCCACCAGCCCCCTCATAATCCGCTAACATTAGACTCTCCAACCCTTGAAAAGCTCCCCTTAAACTTATCCAGCATGATTAGATCTCCTTCCTCAATAAAGCCCACTGTGATCAGCATAGAAGCACCAATGTAACAGGAGCATGTACACCGTCCACCAATTTGCCTGTTATATTAGTGGTCAGTGTAAATACTCCTGTTACATTAGAGTTCCAGGTTTACTGTGGCTTGAACCACTTGCCGCCTGGCCTATAGTCAAATGATGGCTGGGCAAATACCTCGTCCCTCTGGGAGGGCGTCATATGACGTCTTTCCCGAATCGTGCTTTGCGCACACCTGCAGCACCACGCTGTGGCGAGATCTGTCACCGGCCATATACCTCGGACACGGCCAATGACAGATCTGTGTACCAGCCCTGTTGCCAGTACACAGATCTGTGTACCGGCCCTGTTGCCAGTACCATGTGACCTGCTGTGACCAATCACAGCAGGTCACATGACAGTTGTATACAATGGATGGCTTCCTTTCATGCCATTCATTGTATACAAGTGTGTCTAGCTGTGAAGAGTCAGAGATCACATGCACAGGCTGGGCCAATCACAGCCCATCTGTGTCATGTGATTAGCCGTGGCCAATCACAGCTAATCACAAAAAAAGCTGAACTAATCGATTCCATTCAGTTAAATACTTGCTTATAGCAAAGAAATTCTTTGCTATAAGCAATCAAATTGTATAAAATAAAAATACTGATCACTTCCACAAAGTAGTACAATGTTACTATGGTAACATTATACTACTTTGGGCACAGTGTAATATGAAAAAAAAACAAAATGTAATAAAAAATGGAAAAAATTATTTTTTTTTTTTGTACTGTCACCAGTCACTGTCCCTGATCACCACACACCAGTTATGTGCTGTACTGCACTGATGACAGTATGTGGGAAAAAAAAATTGTGAACATTTTTTAAATTTCATTTTCTGAAAAATGACAAAAAAATTACAACTTCAAAAAACTCGCCATGCCTCTTATGAAATACGTCGGACTGTCTACTTAGAACAGTACAGATATCCCCCAAATGACACCTTTTTTCAAACATTTTTGGGCTTCAAGAAATTAGATTGGCTGTCAGTACTTCAGGATTGATCAATTTTCAGATATATCCCATAGTTTGTGAACTCTAAAACTTTCCTACAGACCAAATAATAAATACTGATTTGGGTTATTTTCACCAAAGAAATGTAGCAGAATACATCTTGGCCTAAATTTTAAGAAGAACAATTATTTATTTGCAAACTTTTATAACCGAAACAAAGAAAAATGTGGTGTTTTTTTTTTTTCAAACTTTTCAGTCTTTTCTTGTTAATTTAGCAAAAAATAAAAACCCCAGTGGTGATTAAATACCACCAAAAGAAAGCTCTAATTGTGTGAACAAAATAATAAAAATTTAGTTTGGGTACAGTGTTGCATGACCGTGCAATTGTCATTCAAAGTGTGAGAGCGCTGAAACCTGAAAATTGGCCTGGGCAGGAAGGGGGTAAAAGTGCCCGATATTGAAGTGGTTTATAAGTTTGTTTTGGCCAAGCTGCCTTAAATGATTTCTATTAGTAATGGATGTTGCCGCTCTGTGCATGTAATATACTGTATTGGCATCAGTTACATACAGTAGGCTGTGCTCTGCAGTAGTACGGGCGACTTCCTAGTGCTGAAACTAAATTGCGGTGATCTGAATGCTTCCTACCATTCAGGATAAGCTTTCTATTTGCTATCATTGAACACAAGGCTTCCTCTGCTAGAGGAAGGCAGATATCATGATGTCCACCTTGGCCAACCTGAGGAAGTCTTGTATTCTTTTGCCAAAAACACAAGGCTTCCTCCAAATGGCAAAAAAGCATTTAGACCTAGTTCACACTGAATGCGGCTTTGAAATTGCACTACGTCAGCCCAATTTCAAAATTGTAGAACAGTACGTCTTCTTGTGTGGCTTGATTGATTCACTTTAGTTCCAGCAGAAGACAGGAAGCCCCTTTACTGCTGCTGAAACACAGTGCTACTTACCATATGTGACTGATGCTACTACACTATAGTACAGCATAAGCAGCGGCTGCATCCATTAACCATTTACCGGGCAATTTTACACCTTCCTGCCCAGGTCAGTTTTCAGGTTTCAGCGCTCTCACACTTTGAATGACAATTGCGCGGTCATACAACATTGTACCCAAACTAAAATTTTAGCATTTTCTTCACCCAACTAGAGCTTTCTTTTGGTGGTGTTTAATCACCGCCGGGGTTTTTATTTTTTGCTAAATTAACGAAAAAATACCAAAAATTTTGAAAAAAGTTTTTCTTTGTTTCTGTTTATAAAAGTTTGCAAATAAATAATTGTTCTTCATAAATTTAGGCCGAGATGTATTCTGCTACATGTCTTTGGTGAAAATAACCCAAATTAAGATGTATTTTTTAGTTTGTAGGAAATTTATAGAGTTCACAAACTATGGTATAGATCTGAATATTGATCAATCCTGAAGTACTGACAGCCAATCTAATTTCTTGAGGTCCAAGAATGTCAGAACAGTACAGATATCCCCCAAATGACCCCTTTTTGCAAAGTACAGTCCGACGTACTTCATAAGAGGCATGGCGAGTTTTTTGAAGTTGTATTTTTTTGTCATAATTTTTCGGAAAATGAAAAAATTAGTTTCACTATTTTTTTTACATACTGTCACCAGTGCAGTACAGCGTCATCATATAACTGGCATGGTGGTGATCAGGGACACTGACTGGTGACATTATAAAAAAAAAAATTATATATTTTTTTATTACATTTTTTTCTTTTTTTTTTTAATTTTTTTTTCTCATATTTCACTATGACCAAAGTACTACAATGTTACCATTGCACTACTTTGGGGAAGTGATCAGTATTTTTTTTTTACACAATTTGCTTATAGCAAAGAATTACTTTGCTATAAGCAAGCATTTACCTGAATGACATCGATTCATTCAGGGTTTGTTTTTTGTGCTTAGCTGTGATTTGGCCACAGCTAATCACAACACATGTGCATGTGATTAGCTGTGACCATTCACAGCTAGGCAGTAGTATACAATGGATGGCATGAATGAAGCCATCCATTGTATACAACTGTCATGTGACCTGCTGTGATTGGTCACAGCAGGTCACATGGTACCGGCAACGGGGTTAATACTCAGATCTGTCATCGGCCGTGTCCGAGGT